CAGGTTCAGCATTTGCCTGCCCAGGTTCAGCATTTGCCTGGAGCTGCCACCATGTGGTAACAATTAGTCATAGCAATAAAAAATAAAGCAACCAAGGTACCCTCAAGTCCTCTCGAAGGAAATGAAAATTTTCCATCATATGAACATTTCCAGTTTCTCAGGGCTAGAAGAGCTGCAGTATAAACTATCACTTGAGAGACATGATGTTCAAAATGTATAGGCTTGATTTTGGCCAGAATGGTATTGTTTCACTAATCTCATCTTATTCACAATCTAGTTTTCTGATGCTTTTGCTGTCATAACACTTCATTTACTTAACCAGTTAGACAAATGTTGAAGGGATGGGGTCACAAACCCCATTTTTCACATACTTAAATTGAGGTCCATAGAACAAAGGTCAAATTCCCATTTTTCACATACTTAAATCTCGTCTTATTCACAATCTAGTTTCTGATGCTTTTGCTGTCATACCACTTCATTTACTTAACCAGTGAGACACATGTTGAAGGGATGGGGTCGTAAACCCCATTTTTCACATACTTAAATTGAGGTCCATAGAACAAAGGTCAAATTATTTGTTCAAGGGCACCTGAGAGACAATGATAAAATTGGCTTTTTTTCCCTTCTGAACCCAAGATTTTGTGATTTTTTATTCTTAGCAGAGGCCTTTTTCTTGGTGAAATTGATGAACTTTCTTCCTTTAAGTTCTAGTTCAGCAAACATACTAATCAATATATAGGGCTCCAAATTCTTCCTCTGTAGAATACATCTGCCTTTCTTTTCCTGGAAAGCAAACTCACCCACCTCAAATGCTTATAAGGAGGGAGTGAAGCCTTCACCTCCTCTCCTTCCCTGCCCTACCTTGGGTAACTAGGGAATATCATCTGCCATGGCAGAAAATAAAACAGAGGGAATATATCTGGGAAAAAAGATGAATTCCATTTTGAATATGTTGTATTTCAGTTGCCCTATGGTGTATCCAAGTGGAGATATACAATATCCAATGTTTAGGCATCATCAGCACAGGTGTTAGAGTTGAAGCCAACAATCCCTGGAAATCACCCAGGGAGAGTGTGCAGAGTAAAAACAGGGAGCCAAAATCAACCTGTGGAAGATGGAAGGAAGCCAACACAGTGGACTGAGAGGGGACCACAAGAGAGGCAGAAAGAGAATCAGGAAAGTGGTGTCACACCCTAGGGAAGAAAGTTTCTAGCAAAAGGCAGCAGTCTAATATACCAAAGCATGCCAAAAATGACTTCAATAAGATACTGATATTATAAGCACGGGCCTGCTGGATTAAAACTCCCTGCATTCGTGCCCTGTTCTGTTGCTCGACTCAGCTGTGGGGACTGTGTCCCACTCATCTTTGTACCTCACACTCTGTACACAAGCTCCAACTGAAGCTCAACACGTGGCTTGCTCAGCTGAACAGAACAGAAATTAAATCTGCAACTATCCCAAGTCCCACGTGGACTTCACCCTGGCTCCTTTCTCTGTGGGAGCAGAGACATTGCCACTTACCTGGATCACTGTTACTTAGATCTTGGGCTGGCATGGCTGCATCTGACAAGCAACTGTCCACATTTTCTCTGGGGATTTGTTCAGTAGCTTTTTTCTGGGGCTTCTGCTGGCTGCATTTCCTGTAACTTTGTCTGTTTGTCAATAAAGGACTCCATCCCAGACATGGATAGAATCTCTGATTCCTGAAGAAATAGCCAGTGGCATATCACATAAAGAAAGCAGACAGCAGGGGAGCAAATGCAGTACTCTACCTCTCCCAACTCTACCCTGCCAAAAGTAGCATGGATACACTCGTAGAACCCACTGACTCTGTGACTACTTACGTGTTTTTATTTTTTACCTGGGTTTCAAGTAAAACAAGCCTGCCTGGGATTATCACTTCTGCACACATTTTTGGGTCATCTGTTCTCTTCCAGGAACTGGCTTGCTTTCTCATCCTGTCATCCATTATCTCAAACCCAATACTCTTGAGAAGCCAATCTGCCAACCCAGAACTGGTAGGAACTCCAAACCACTCAAGAGAAAATATTTTTAGCATAAAAATAGAGATCTAAATGTTAGTTAAGTCCTTTAGCAGGACACCTATCAACATCCCAGATTTTTTTTTAAGAGAACATATTCTTTTTTTTAATTATCATTTTATTTATACATATTTAGGGGTACAGAGTTGACTACCAGTATTTGTACATAGTATGTGACGATCAAATCAATATTATTAGCATGTTCATCATTACAAATCATAATTACTTTGTGTCTCTTACCCAATTACTCCCTATCTTTCCTCCCCCTCCCCCACCTCTAATAACTATAGGTCCAACATCCCACATCTTAATTCTCTGGGCTTTGGTTCTTACCACATTTCCTTCCTGGAGACAATAGAGAATCCTGTCATGTGCTTCAGTCACACTCAGTGCTGGAGCAATTTTACTGGATGAGAACCTCAGTCTGGACCTGGCACAGAAACAAAGAGCAGAAATAGAATGTAATTCATGGCCTTTCTCCCCATACAAAGGGCTGGCAGGAATAGGTAATGCATCAAAAGAAGAACACCCATACCTACCCCTAGGAGCTGCGAGAAAAGACTTGGCCCTGAAATCTCCCAAACAATGTATACTCTGGCAGTTCTTGATACTGCAACTTTTACACTGAACTACATCTACAATGCTTTTTCATAAGCGTCCAGATACAGATGACATTTCCAGTAAGGGTTAAGTGTAGTGCCTTGTCTTCCACATGTTGGCTTTGAGAGCTGCCAGGGAGCAACTGGGACCCTAGCGCAGGAGAGAGTAGCAGCAGTCATCCAGTTACTAAAATAGACCCTGCAGGTTTCCACTGTAGCCCTTTCCTATTCGTTGCTAGTATACGCAACTTCTGAGCCAAGATTTCCAGAAATGATGGCAAACAGAGATCAGTTATAAGCCTTAATTCTTAGCAGGAAAGAAACATCTCAATTTTCCAGAAAATCAGAAAAGAGAATATTCATATTTTAGTTTTCCTTCTAGTCAAAATTCCTGGTCAGATGGGCCCTGGGTTCCCATGGCAGGAGCAAACATTCAGCAGTGCTGCCTCTACAGCGTCTTGGGCTCCTCTGGGTGGAACACTGTGGAGCCTGGTCTGGCTTTGCCTAAAAACTAGTATCTATGACCCACCTTCTCTCTTCTAGGGCTTGAAAATGGAGGTTGGTAAAAATTAGTGACCAACTTGAGAATTGGGGGAGGGTCCCTGGGAGGCTGAAGGGCTTCTCACTTGCTAGCCTTCTGGCCTTCTGTCTGGGGTTTGCTTTCGGTCTCAGCCTCACTCAACTCCTCCGTGGGGCTCTGTGGTTCAGAGCGAGGAAACGCAGTCTTCAAGGTACCCACAATAGCACTCACCACCATCTGCAGGGGTCAGAGGTGCAGGTCAGTAACACCTCCAGACAGAAGCTGCCAAACAAGCAGTCATCTCACGAGTAGAGAGCCAAGCTATGTAGCAGAGCCTCATCCATCAGGAAAGTCAAACACCAGCTAATGACTCAGTGATAACTAACTACCCTTTTCTCTATGGTCACAAAAATCTTTTTCCTTACAGAGTAAGACAAACAATGCCACGGGAAAAGAAGCCAAAACAAACAGCGGAATAACAAAAACGTGGGAGTTCTGAAGGCTGGTGAAGTATTTTTCAATTTTTTTGAAGAGTTTCACTGCTCCCCACTACTATTTCCACTGGAAAGCCTCCTCCCCCAGACACTTTCTTTACTTATAAAAATTGCTACATAACTATTTTTCAAATCCCAAAGACTGA